CCGTTTCCGAGGACGGAAACGACAGTCGCGCCTGGACCCAGGTTCTCGTGCTTCTCTCGGAGGAATTCAGTTCATCTCCCCGTGGGCGCTGTCCAGTGGGAATCGTGTGTCATTCTGTCCACTTGGCGAATGGGAGCAGAGTGATTACGTCTTTATTTCACCCAAAGGAAGTTTGCGATTAAAAGAGAAATAGATGACGTGAGCGTGACTTCGCGATGGCCTCGGGCTGCAGGGCGCGGGGTGTCAGTTTTACAAAATGAAGAGAGGGGCGGAGATGGGAGCTGGCGATGGGTGGACATGATGAATGTATGGAACACACTGAACTGTACACTTACAGATGGTTAAGGTGGCAGATGTGATGGTGTGTGTATTAAAACAGGAACAGGGGCACAAAATACCAATATGAGGGATGAAAAAAGAATTCATTGCAGATTCTATAAATTTTTAAAAGGTAATAAACATATTACAAAACTTTTGAAAAAGCTGACAAGTTCCACAGATTTCTTGAAAAACAAATTACCAAAACCGAACAAGAAAATTTAGAAAACTTGCATGGTTCCGTATCTGTTAAAGGAATTGATTTAATAATACGATCTTCTTACAAAGAATACCCCGGTCCCAGATGGTATCACTAGTAAATGTTTCCAAACATATAAGGAGAAAACAATACCAACAGTTACACAAATTCTTCCAGAAAATAGAGAACAGTGAAATACTTCCTAGCTGGTTCTCTGATGGCTATAAAATGTTAGCAAACACAATCCAATGAGCCCAGCGGGTGTGGGGCAGTAGTTGAGCCTCAACCTATGAACCAGACGGTCATGGTGGGATTCTGGTCCAGGCAGCTGCCCAGGTTGCTGGCTCCATCCCCAGCAGGGGGCGTGCAGGAGGCAGCCAATCAATGATTCTCATCGTGGATGTTTCTATCTCTCCCTTCCTCTCTGAAATCAATAAAAATACATAATTTAAAAAAACAATTCAATGGTATATAAAGTGATTATATTTCATAACCAAGTGTGTTTATGTAATATATCACTTAATAAATGTGTCATTTTAAAAAACCTACCCATTTGCCGAAACCGGTTTGGCTCAGTGGATAGAGCGTCGGCCTGCGGACTGAAGGGTCCCGGGTTCGATTCCGGTCTAGGGGCATGTACCTGGGTTGCGGGCACATCCCCAGTGGGGGATGTGCAGGAGGCAGCTGATCGATGTTTCTGACTCTCTCTCTCTCTCTCCCTTCCTCTCTGTAAAAAATCAATAAAATATATTTAAAAAAAAAAAAAAAAACCTACCCACAAAGAAAGTCCAGCCTCAAATGGTTTCACTGGTGAATTCCATCAAATGTATAAACAAGAAATAACACCATTATTAAACAAAATTTTAAGAAACTATAGGATGAGGTGGGTGGGAAGAGATTAACCAAAGAACTTACATGCATATATGTATAACCCATGGACATGGACAATAGTGTGGTAAAGGCCTGGGGTGGGAGCGGAAGTGGGCTAGAAGGGATTAAGGGGGGACAGGGGACATCTGTAATACTTTCAAAAATGAAGATAAAGTTTTAAAAAATATATGGGATGGACACTTCCCAATTTGTTTTATTAGGCAAACATAATTCTAATACAAATATCTGACATACAGGAAAAAAATTACATATTAATATCCCTCATAAAAATAGATGCAAAAACCCTTAAAGCATTAGCAAATCAAGCCCAACAATATATACTGAGGGTAACACATTATAGCCAAGTGGAGTTTATCCCAGTAATGCAAACTGGGACTAACACTTGAAAATTAATGTAATTCACCATATTAACAGAATAAAGGAGAAAAATGCAATCATTTCAATAAATAAGAAAAAGGATTTGACAAGAACTTCTGTTAAAAGGCATCTATCTAAAACCTATCACTAAAATCATACTTAATGTTATCTTGAAGTTTTTATTAGAAACAAGGCATATGTATCCACGACTTCTATTCAACATTTTACAGATGTTTCTTCATGGCAAAATTATGCTCAGAGACTGAGAGTATCTTTGCCAATTATTTAACACTAGAGGCCTCTTGCACAAAAAGATTCGTGCAACACACCTTCCCTCCCCCTGGCTGCCGGCACTGGTTTTCCTCCAGCACCCAGGACCCAGGCCTTCGCTCTGGCCAGAGCCACCTTCCGTCTTCGCTGCTCCATCCAGAGCCGCCTTCCAGCCCACACTGCTCTGGCCGGAGCCGCCTTCAGTCTTCACTCCGCCGCTTAGCGTCTATGTATGCAAATTAACCGCCATCTTTGTTGGTGGTTAATTTGCATACCTCACTGATTAGCCAATGGGAGGCGTAGCAAAGGTACGGTCAATTACCCTGTTTGTCTATTATTAGATAGGATAAGTTCACTGCAGAAATTGTAACATAATAATATATCACGCCAAAACCGGTTTGGCTCAGTGGAT